ACTGGGCCAAAATAATAGGCACTAAAGCCGCCATGAACTTCTCCGCGCCATTTGTCGCGCGCGCCCTCGGACGCACGACTTGACCGTCCCCCCTTTCAACCCTGTGCTACCGTACCCTTTCAAGCGGAATTTGTAGCAGATAGCCAACTAACAAGACTAGGTGTACTTCTTTCTGATTCTTACTTACTACTCGAACCACTACTTTACTCAAATTGGTCATCGTAAATTTTCCAGTAATTTATTGAATCGGTGGTTCAAAGGCCAGAATTTTTCAAATTTGAACCCTCCCATCTGGTTCCGCCGTGTCCCTGTCTTTTTCCCTCTTTCGAGTGTCATTGTACTTTACAAGGACGCGAACTTTTTGGAGGGACCTTCAGTTTAGCTTCGTACATTTTTCTTCCAACTGGGTGTCTATGAAGGTGACCCTTGTCGGTTTCGAGTACTACGCTGCAAGAAGAGTGGTCCGTCGTCCCTACACTGGACACGGTACCTAACCTATATAGCAGAACGCTGTCATTACCAGTTTATTCTCTGTAACAACTAATCAGGTTCAGCCCACGTGAATAACTGTTCACCGTGTTTTCTGATGCATTACGTGTTATCAGCCTATGAATATGTTCGCCCTTGATCGGCAGACAAACGACTCATCGCTGTTCTCGTCTCACGACAAATATAGCTATTGATCGCGTGCGAACGAGCAAGACCTTGGTTGTGGAATTTTTCTGAAGGCCTAATGAAAACAGGATTATTTTCGAGCATTGTCTTAACTTTCTGTGTTTGTTTCTCCAAAGAGGCGGCATGGTTGTGAAAGGAGCCGCAACTATGCACAGTCAACAACTCCAATGTTACCTAATTGTATTCCACTATACTGTGATCGTTTACTTGATACTGTGGGAAGAAAACATAAGGACAACTATCGACTGTCTCCCATATGCCATTACATTGATCAACTGCTCATTCAAATAGCTCTACAACCTGACTTTGAGCCGAATACATGGTGTATCTCGTACTGGTTCATTTTAAATGTTCACTAACTCTCATTATTGTTTAAATGGAAGTATTTAAGAAACGATCACTCATCTAAAGTCACAACTTTACACTCTATAGTGCGTAAGTAATCCGGAAACCATGGAAACCTACTAAATTGATTGCGAACCATCGAAATTTTCAGTGTCATTATCTGCTGTCCAAATAAACTATCTTTTCTTATCGCTCTTTCACATCTTCAGCGGTAGTTCCGGTGATTTTCCAGAGGTCATAAAGTAAGCATGAAACGGGAAATTTAGGAGAAATTGTTGAGCTCGATTTTGTTCTGTGAATGTGATCACTATTTTTTTCCTGTGGAAAAGTACGAACTTTCAAAAATTTTTTGTACATTTATTTGTGTGACACATTGAAAAAAACCAAGCACAATTTTCAAAACACTAGCCTACCTATCGAAAGTTCGAATCCGAATTTCTTCAGGTATTTTCTGGACGTTTCACGGGGTTCCTATGTGGGAACACAAACCACCGCATGCCCATAACATGTCCGGGTGCCTCTTCCTTGTATACCGAAACCCACTGGGACTTGTGTCAGTCCCTTGGCCTTAAAGCCCTTTCTTAACAAGTAAGCGGCTTCCTTCCCGTAGTGGATTTTCCCTTTTATAGTTTCCTTTCCTATGGGAGCTTCCAGAAAATCCTGGAAAAAATCAGGGCTGCAGTGGGTTTTTCGTCCGGTTTCTTTTGAATCCTAGTACTTCGAGTTCGCTCCAACAATCCAGCTTTTCTGAAAACCCATTTTTCTTTCTAGAAATTCCAATTTTGATAGCCAAACGCCTTTTCCAATCCATACACTAGCAAAAAAGGCCACGATATAACTAAAGTACGGATTGGAACTGGTTTCTGTAAGTCCCTACGATTGCAAATGTAGGTCGAATATGTGGCGCATCCCGGAAGAAGTGATTAGATCTACCAATGTCTTCCCTTTCAACCCCTACAACTAACAACATTACTGTTTACTTTACTAGAGTAAAAATGAACTTTGACGGGTACCATTCGTGCGCAATTCTCGCTATCGGTTCTGCTTGTTCCTAAATAAACCGGTTCTAGAGTTCTTCATAGACTGTAATTGAAACCAACCAAACCGTTCTCAGAGATAAAAAGGTAAAATACGCTTCAAGATAATTAAAATGGTTTTAAATGGTTTCTTTTTCTCGATTTTCTAATTTTTTCAAAGCAAGTTTGCTTAATTTGCTAAAAATATCTCCTTGCTTTGATCTCGTTTCATTCCTTCACGTCTTTACGGGGTTCTTCATTGAGTAAACAAACTCGCCGCCCAGCTGGGACAGAACCGTCAACATTGTCACGAACCGCGAGAGAACCGATGACCGGCAACGGTCACGCATCGGCTGGTAGCTAAACACTGTTAAAGCTACGAATCGTCACGATTTATTCAAATTATCTGGTATTTGTACAACACCTATCATTTTTTCTCTGCATTACAAATATTGTTTTGTTGTTTACAAAGCCAGGGGTTGTTGTGAGGTAGTATGACCCATTTGAACTCGTTGGATACACATCAGCTTGCGAGCCGTTGCGTCGCGGCTCGTGCTGATGTCGTGTTGTCGAATTGCCGTCATCGCAGAATACACCTCACTTATTGACATGCTATTTTCATTACTAAATCACCTGTTGTTTAAACTTTACAGTTTATCGATTTTGTAACGTGAAGGTGTCAACAATTATGCAAAAGAATTGGGCCATGTTTACCACTTTAGAAATTTTTGTGCAAACTTGTGACCATAGCCTAGAGTGTGCCCTATATGAGTACCGTAGGGAAGTTCTCCTCATTGTCGAACGATTTTCCACCTAATTTCCGTTAGTAGCGTTATTACATCGCCGTGTTCTATGAATCCCTATTGATATCCCAACAATATATCGAAAAAGATAGCACTTGAGTCCCCTTCATGAGATGTATCGTCTCGTTGTATCACACTTAAACTGAACCTTTTCATGTCTGACCGTTATTTTTCGTACTTCCGAAGATGTTACCAGTATATATACTGGTTTGCTGGCATTTTACGAATCTTTTTGTTGTTTTCAGGTGATGAATCAGTTCCGCACAGGCGGCGGGCCGCAACGGGAAATGTTTGCGGCGGCCGAAGATATTGCGGATGATGTTAGTAAGAATTTTTCTATTATTCTTTTTCGAATAAACAAATTATTGTGTTAACTGTGGCTTGATCAACTTTGAGTTAGAAATTGACTAATTGGCTAGGGGTGCTGGATTTACTGGTTCTGATCGCTCCTTAGATTGTATCGCACCCTGCACAGTAAAACCATCGCTTTCTTTACTTCCTCTTGTCCCTTTTCGATGATCTTGTGGCCCTGATGCGTTTACTTTTCCTGGAAACTTCCCCCGGATTCAAATAAGGGCCCTGAGCCAAGTCAAACTTGTCTATCAACTAGTAGGCTAATATTTGCTCAAGATTGTTTCCTCGATATTTCCATTCGTAGAGCTTCCTTATCGTCATCTGAGCTTGTAACTTTCCTATGTACTTCAATGGGCATGAGGTCTTAAGTGGGGATAGCACTGTGCCCATCAAGTCTTACTGTTTATTTACTGAAATTTTTACTCTGTTGTCATTATTATTGCTCGAATTTGGGTGGTTCCACTTGTATGATGCTGCTGAGGCCCCTTCTATGTCATAGAATCCTCCCATTCGCCTTAAAGTCGTTCTCCTTCCAACGTCCGTCGATATCTCCCATAGAAGAGGCTGCAACGACATAACGCTCATACGGCCCTTGATCAGTGCTTATGAGAGCACGGAGGGGCTCCAATGCTTTGAGAAGTCTCCCGCTGAGTTGTATTAGCCAACCAGGGTGGATCTGTGGGAGCTGGCAACATTTTTCAGCTGTACTGCGGCCTGCCCTGATTAATGATCTATCACTTGAAAACTTCATTGTTCAAATAATTCCGTTGTATCACCAGTGTTACATCATGGGCTGGCTGAGCACTTGTTATAATCCTTGGTGGCACGATATTTTAGGTACTAGTTAGATATCCTAGCTTAGAAAGGTTTGGTTCTGGGTGTTCCTACTAGTTATCATGTTAAAGTGCAGGCGTCCTATAAAGTACATATTGATAGTAAAGTATAGAGCCATCGATAGTAGAGTAGAGAGCCATCCACAGAGCCATTTATCTGGTAATAATAGCGCAAATACATTTTCTACTGAGTCTATTTCGTCCCGCTCCAGTTCAACCTCTTTTTGTTCATTCTGATAACGACGTGTAGAGTGTAATCGACTTTTTTTGCAAATTCAGTTTAATACGAAGGTATTTCTATCCTGTAATCAACACAGTTAAGAGCATTAGTGTTGTATCACACGTAATCAGGCAATACCACTTATTATCGATTGTAGGTGTTACGCCGTACCAGGCATCTTCTTCCGCATGTGGCACGGCTGTGCCTGGTATCAACTTTCCTGGAAGATGGTATCAGAATGTGGTTTCAGTGGGACGATCAAAGGCAGTTTATGCAGGTTTCATTTGTTTATTTGCTGTCTGTATAGACGCTAAGAAAATAAACAAGACTGCAATAAATTATAATAAATAAAAGCGCATTCCTTGTTCGAATGGGAATGCTGGGAACTTCTCAGAGCAGCATTGAAACACATCAAGAAAACTTATCACTCCCCATAGGGAACAGTGAATGGATCCGAGTTTTCACATTCCCACTGGGACAGCATTCAGCGTGGGTGTATTAGACCGTCAGAAATAGTGGAACCCTGTTGTAGTGTTTTGTTGGTAAACAAAGACCATTTGTCTGAATGAACACAGTAGGGCCTCCATTAAGAATTTGACCCGCTAGCTGTGGTTGCAAAAGTACCAGGGGCTGTCATGAGCCCTGCAGTGCTGCCAGTTGTTGAGTCAGTGCTCAGAAGTTCCCAGTCCAAGTGGCTGCTTTTCACCGAAGTAGTGACTCATAAATGAAACCGTAACGTTTTTGGCGTTTTTCCATCCCGCCCATTTCCAAGTTGTGCCCCAAATTTGACGTTCAATCAAAATCGTGAAGAATTGAATGCGTTTGTGGTCTACAAAACAACTTGTTATGGCTAGATGATGTGTAAGTCAGAATTTTCATCCTCCCAGACCGGTCCTATACCAATTAATCGACCCTGGAGAGATTAAGGCTTGGTGGACCTGGTAAAGTATCGATCTGGGATTCGATCCCGGACCAAACGTCCAAACGTATAACAGGACTCCGATCGCCACTGTACCACCTGCGCCCATGCTGTTTGGGTTTAATGTTGCAAGGTTTGAAGGCCGTAAAATGGAACTTTTGTGACCATCGTGTCCTTTTTATGACGTCGATCTGCAAATGAGAGACTGTTGGTGAGATCGAACAAATCACATTAAAAGTTTGATGTGGAAGAATTTATTCAGAAACTTTTTTTGCTTGCTCGTTATTAAACATTTGGAGCGGGAGACACATTGAGAACCAAAAAAGGGACATCTCTCCTTTCTTTCCCTCTAAATCTTTTACGTAAGTGGAGAGTAGGACAAGGTGACTAAAGGAAGAAGGGAGATTATTGAAGCAAGTCGAGAGACTCGAAGATTACCATTTTTCTTCAGAACGGAAGTTTTTTTCTGCTTTCTCTTTATCAGTATTAGCGCATATAATGTGATTCAGTGGCTGTTTGTCTTTTGGCTGAACAGCTTGAAAATCATTCACATTTTGAATATTCATTGGCTTTGCTCTTCTATGTGTGCTCAGCGTTATCGAGCAAATTTAAATATAGCTGCCGCTAAAAAGTGGATTAAACTTCATCGAAAAAGGTTGATTCAATCCGATTTTAATGGCAAAATTCACATCTTTCAAACACATGGAAGGTCTTTTTTATTGGCATTAGCTGGGATCATTGTCATAACGCCACATTTTAGCAGATGTCTTGAAATGATGTCTCGGTAAGAGTATCTTTCATTTTCAGGAATCATGGTCTTGTGGTTGGTTCCTAGCGACTATGTTCGTTGTCTACAACTTCTTTGGACAGTTCTTGCCTGTGATCATGATCATGTTGCGAAAAAAGGTATACATGTTGATTCAGGTTGTTAGTAATAAAATGTAAATATAGTAATATTCGCAGGTGGCGATCGCTTGTGGTGTGCTTGGATCAATTGTACTTCTACAAACTGTTGCTTATCATATTCTATGGGATCTGAAGTTCCTTGCCAGGTATGCTAAAATAGTGCATTCACTGATTTATTACTGCTTTATTTTTTCAATATATTACAAATGCATAACAAGCACCTTTAATTCCTATTAAAGGGACCCATTCAAATATCCTGAAATTTATGGGATAGTAAATTTTCAACCAACATGGCGCTAGTAAGGGGCTATTCCGTTTTTTGTTGGCCAAAAATTACTTTTAAACAGAATGTTTACGAGTAAAAAGATGGAATAGTTTTGTCAAAGTTGAATGCGGTAATCATTTCAAAGTCACAATGGGGATGAACCATTGATTTCACCTTCTGGAATAGCTACGAAGGTTTAAAAGAAGCTTTGTTTGAAAAACGGCTGCCGCGAGTTCTATTTCGGTTTGTTTGTATAAGCGTTACTTAATGCGTCAAAGTTGCGCGGGGTCAGCTATGTGCGAGAATAACCTGTTGACCGCGAAACGAGCCTTGGAGTAGCTTTTATTGTACCGCATAAATCACTCACGTTTTTCTCACAAATTGGAGAACAAAGAAGGTCGTATGAATAGCCATCGATTCGCTTTGCTCTTCTAATGAAGAATTATCACCTCTTTTTAATTTTGTCGAGTCATCTGTTTATGTGTGGCTACTTTCTATCTATCCCTGCCGATCTTTCTTTTTACGGAATCAAAAGTTTCCAAGCCTAGTTTTGGAAACGGTTGTATCTTGGATTATAACATTTGACAGCAGTCAATGAATTCAGAAATGTGGCTGTTGGTGGAGGACTTGTACTACTCTTGGCTGAAACCCAAGAGGAAAAAGCATCATTATTCGCTGGAGTGCCAACCATGGGAGATTCTAACAAGCCAAAATCGTACATGTTATTAGCTGGACGAGTTCTACTGATATTCATGTTTACGTCGCTACTTCATTTCGAAATGAGCTTCTTGCAGGTAAATCTTGCTTTTATTTTGCTGTTTCATGAGTAATGGACTTTGTTGTGGGACAAGCTATATGAGGACATTTTGCCCGCCATTTTGTTTCCGATAAATGCTTACTTCATACAGGTAATTGAAATTGTGGTGGGATTCGCGCTGATCATGCTTGTATGTGTTGGCTACAAGACGAAATTGTCCGCAATGCTTCTTGTGGTCTGGTTGTTCGGCCTCAATCTATGGCTTAACGCTTGGTGAGTTTGATTTGGCATGGTCATAATGCGAGCTGTCATGATATTTTGCTTCCTTCAGGTGGAATGTACCATCTGATCGATTCTACCGTGATTTCATGAAATACGACTTTTTCCAGACGATGTCTGTTATCGGAGGTTTGGCCATTTTTCGTTTCAGTGGTTTTTGTCAAGTTTAGCAGTCACGACAAAGTAATTAGATCGATAACTTTCGCATTATGGTAATTAAAGGGTATGTATGAGTTCCTTCAGAATTCAGTCGTCTGAGAGTCCTATTATCCGACTAGTCCTAACGAAAGCAAGATTTTACGGTGCGCTGTAAGTGTTTGGGATCGATGGGTGACGTGTCCTAGGGATTACAGTGAAGACGTAATTTACTAGTAAGAAGCCTTCGCCAAGAATAGATTTACGGGAATAATGGGGTTCCCCTGTGTCGCTGCTGTCGTTGCTCATATGAATACTTGTTTCTGATCTCAAAATATTTTTTTGGTGCTTTCATGAGAAAAATCTTCGCCCAAGTAGTACTTTGTTAGAAAAACTACCTCAAACTTGTTGTTAGACGCTGTTGTTGAGTTGCGAAATTCGATATTACCGAATTTAGATGCTCTAGTTTACGGGTCCAAGGCGGTTCCCGTATTTTGGTTCCCATAGGCAGGCTCCTCCATCGTTTCGTAGTGCCATCTTGCTGACCAATGCCTTCAAACAATCGATTGCTTTTCTTTCGAGTATTTTTCGAACTTCCTGTTCTCAGGTCTGCTACTGGTCATCGCTTATGGTCCTGGTGGAGTTTCTGTTGACGACTACAAAAAGAGATGGTAAACGATGGCAATGACATAGAGTGAGCGGATTCACCTGAAGACACACAAGTGAGCCGACATGCAGGCAAATTGGTTTTATACCCTACTATCTTTCCGTATTCAGCTCTTCCCGTGGTTGTCCCTAGTGAATATTTGAGTGCTCGCTATGATTATATAATTTATTTCTTTAATGTTTTTCTTTGTTGCATTTGGGTCTTTTCAACGTTCGATGTTTGGCATCGAACGTTGTTGTTAAAGAAAAGTAAAATAAATATTTACATTAGGAAGCTAGCATGGCTTTCATACTTGTCAAGTCTTTGCTTCATACCGTAGCTGTAGTTTAATTAACTAGGGAGAGGTGTGTTGTGCCCTTCTATCGCTTTCAGGTGTACTACTTTATTTCACTGATGTTACAATATAATATAACTTGTTATCAAAGTTGTCTTCTAATTTCTATTTTATCAACAGGGAACATGAGGTGCGTTTTGTAAGAGGTGGTTATGAAATAAGAACTGCGATTCTGCGAAGGGTGTACAGGCATCAATACGACATTGTTACGTGGGCGATTGATTGCTATTGATTGGCGTTGTTGGTAAAACAATGTGAGCGATCATTCCCAAAAAGTAGTTTTTTAACTATTCTTATCCTTCACATTGACTGTTACTTGAATCTAGCATTTCAGACCATTTTTGCACTGCTTTTCATGCGAATTATGAAAAATTAAAAAACATACGTAAATAAGGATAGTATTGATTTCTGGTTTCCTTCAATTTTTTTATTGATTTTCAGTTTACCAGGGATCCCGCATTTAAACTAGGGGATCTTCTATTATTATAATTACAACTACTTGTGGTTTAAATTTTTGCCTTCATCAGCCAAATTAATCGGCGAGCTATTATAGTCGTCCCTAAAGGGTTGAAAGGATTGGTTAGGCCAACTGGAATTCGTTTGGGAGCTTTGGAGTATGTGTTAGGGTAGTGCTTGTTGCCATTTTGTCTATTTGATTTCATATTGGTCTTTATTCAAGAAAGGGCAATTTAATTTGGGCGTGCCAGTCTTCAGCGCTTCCCTTCATTCCCCCCACCATCAGTGTTACTTGTAAATGTAAAGCACGTGTTGTCATCAACGTGACAGAGAGAGAATCATAAAATGACAGGCACTGACGGCGCAAAATAAGCTGGGGATGTAAAAACACCATCGGGCTCCATTTACATGATTAGTTCCTCTCTTACACACAGCTATCGAGGTTCTGTAATGCACGCACGTAGCCTTTATAGGTGCATTACCATCATCTACGAAAATACGTTTTATATGCGCGTAATACTTAGATTATTTACCATAATTAGATTTTTCTTGAAAGCTGCTTTAATTAGTTTTATATAGTCAAGTAGTGTTTTTGCTTCATTTCTCGGCAAGAATACTGAGTTATGAGAGATATGTTGGCCTTGCAGGGAAATTAAACTGCACCTAATGACCCGCATCAATGAGTAAGTGGGAGTTCGAGTCCCGTCCCAGGCCGATGTTGAGCCTAAGCCAGCAGCCTCAAGAAAAACCTGACTTGTTGGTACTGGTTGTGTAGAGCTGCACGTGATGCCTCGTGTGATCTGACCACATTCCTCAAAATACTTCATTGACGGGTCCTGTTGACACCCTTATCAACAAGAGATTGATCGCAGTTTATTGCGATCAGCTCGTGTTTTTCCTCGAAGACCGATAACAAACAGTTGTCATTAAGCTGACGAAAAACTTATGCAGTTGGGTCAGTTTTGCCGCTGCCGTCAAGCTTCTAAGGATGTGGAATAGTATGGCGTTGTGGTTTAGGTTGAACGGGATAACTACACTCGGATTCTATCTGTATATGAGTGGTAACTATTGCGCTCAATAATATCCTTTTCGTAGACTCCTTTTCGGGTGAAAACCTTTGTAAGAATAATTGCCTGCGTGAATCAACCAGTAGCTTTTTCAGTTCAGCAGCAAACGTGAAGGAGAGTACGTAGTGGTCACACCCACCACCTAAAGGATCGGTGTGTATATTGCCATCGATCGGAAATCGCTGGGGCTTTCACGGGGATTCCTCTGAATATTTGATGAACAGAAGAGAAGGCACCCTTCAACTCCCGTTTCAAAAGCTACAAATTCGGGCTTCATCACCACCACTGCACCTTTGAAAGTTGTTACCGTAAGAGTGAATCGCGCTTCTTGGTTTACTGCTTGTCTGATTTCCGGCTTATACTTCTGCAACAAACAGGTGGAAACGATAACTTCAATTTTTCAATCTCTTCATTTCAATCTCAATCATCCGTATGAAGATTCACAGAGGACACCACAAGAATCTCAAGTAAATTAAATTAATCAATAAAACTCTCAAATAGAATCTGTTAAAACCACCAAATCAAATAGAATCTGTTAAAACCACCAAATCAAATAGAATCTGTCAAAACCATCAAATCAAATAGAATCTGGCTAAAACCATCAAATCAAATAGAATCTGGCTAAAACAATCAAATCAAATAGAATCTGTTAAACCATCCGTATTTCAAGTACTACTTACATCGTTACCTATGCCTATGTTATACTTAACCTGTTAGTAATATGACATAGTACAACCATGATCATATTGCTGTTTCCAGCTTGAAGCAGAACGTAAAGAAAAAGGCAGTACCTATCATGAAATGTCATGTCGTTATCACAGTCTAGAGAGAAAATCGAGTTGTACCGCGCAAGCATGCGACACGGGCTCACTTTCGTAGAACGTGGGAGTTCCACTTTTGTAGTTTTCCTGAAAACCGACACTACAAGACTGTGTATACATATAGAAAGCTTTCAAGGGGCGGAGCTAGTGCGAAAGGGGCGTGCGCAAAGCGGCCAGGAAAAACAGAGGGGCTATTGGGCAAAATGGCGAAAATCTGGGGAATAACAGGGCTAAGAGTTGAAGTACAAATTTAAGCCACAGAGTAATAGGGTACAAATCTGATCTCAATTCATCTTGGTGCCTCTATTAAGTAACTATCGTGAATAGCTCACTTCAGAGTAGATTCACACCTGTTAACACATAAATGATTATTGATTAATTGTCATTGATTTACACCTAAAACATGGGAGCGCAAATTTGAAAAAATTACCTTTATGTAGTTCTTCACGTCATCAACATTCTCTTTCCGAACCAGTGTCACGGTGCAGCCACCAAATCCTCCACCTGTCATTCTTGACCCAAAAACGCCTTCACAAGAGAGAGTCATAGAGACCAGTTCATCAATTTCTGGGCATGACACACGGTATTTATCCCTGCAGATACCCTCCTTTTCCACTGAACAGTGCAAAACCATCATTCGACTTACTTCAATGAATAATGACTTTCGCACATAAAACGTCCAAAATGAGTAATGTCGTTATCGAGCAACGCTTCGCTAGCTTTCACAGTTCGTTCTATCTCATCAACCTGAGAAAATCAAACGGAAGTGTTCCGAGAATGTCAGCGGAATTGCTGAAAATTGTATCAAAACTTAAAACCCACAACATGATGAGCACAATCAAGTGTAGCACTATCGAGAAGAGACGACTTTTCCTGTATCATTTCATGGGTTACATCTCGCCATGAGGTGACTCCAAATCTGAAATCGAACGGACTACTACGAGGGTGACGTTGAAGGGGATCAAAGAATAAATGTCAAAAGAAAATCTGAAAATCATTTGCATATGCGAACGCCATGCTAATGGCAAATTAGCTCAGAATTCCGCATTGAAAAAATCTGTGAAAATAGAAGTTGGCTCAGAGCCAAACTACAACAGACAACGCTGACCATTTATGGATCCGATTCTACCGTCATACCACAGTTGAACTTTACTTGTAACTGTTTAGTCATTGTATTCAAAAAGCAAGACTATCTGGGAGAAAGGAGAAGAGATCGCAACGGTTACAGAGCTCAGATAACCCGTTGAAAGGGCGGCCTGCTCGCTTTTTAATCATCACAGAGGGAAATAAATCGATAACATATAATCTGATCGATTACCTATTTCCTAATAACAGCTGTACAAAAAATGACACAAAAGGTTTGTTCTCCCCAATCGCGATGTGCAGATCTTGTTCCCTCTACGACCGCCTCTTTGCTAATGGAAGTCCTCGGGAGACCTAATTTTAGACCACGACAGGAGAAAAACAACAAAATTCTGAAATGGAGCTTTCACACAGAAGGACACTTACACATGCAGGGCTTCATCCACCATTTTTCGTCGCTTGGCATATTCACCGTCGGCATGAGTGTGATTAACACCGCTGTTAGTGATGAGAAATAAAGTGTCATGAGATATGCTCATGGGTATGAAGTCGTAAGTTAGTAACCTGGAATTTTTCAATTTTATTGGAAGCTGAGAAGCAATGATTTGCCCATAAATACAGAAAAAAATGAGGCACAATTGAGAATATTCGTTGTAGGACCTTTCAGCAGTACTCACTTGCAGTCTATTCGAATGGCATGGCCATGTTCGGCAAGTGCAATAACAAATTGATCCATAATTCCACATGGCACTTCAGCGAATTCATGTTCTACACGACGGCACAGCTCTGCACTTACCACTCCACTTGGAAGTGGATCTAAACTCGTCATCTACAAAGGTAAAGAGAATAAAGACAACACTATACAGACTGAAAAAATAGCATACTGGGCAAAAATTGTGAGACGAGGTAGTATGAGGCAAGTTCCAATGCAGCAGAGCTACTCAGTCCACTTCCCATGGGAATTGTTGAATGGATTACCAGATCAAGACACAAGTCGCATCCAGTTAACGCGAGTACGCCTTGGACATAACGTCCCCAGGTCGCGCTCTAAAAAAGCCTTGATCAAGTTCAGTAAGGCAGTAAATCAAAACAGAAGGAAATAGGCTATTTACTTCGGGCTTAACTTGTCCATAAGGTTGATGAATGAAAATGGGATTACTGAATTGAGACGAGAAAATGTTCGTGAAACCTCGCCGTTGATCGTCTGCCAGTCGTCCCAGAACGGCAGTGTAGAGCGGAATAGCCTACAAATAAAATTTTCAAGACCAAAAGATAAACTGTAACCGATGTTGCATCGAATATGGCTCAATCATGCCAAAATTTGAGCCGCAGCAGCGCGAATGCACGCACTGGTGTCATCTATGCTGCACAGCAGTATTACCTACTATCACTAATGAATCTTAAAAACAATATGAAAGTAGTAATTTGTATGAAAAAGGTTAATCAAAACACTGCTCACCTACCATTGGAAGAACAAAGCCATCACAGTAGTCGATATGTTCTCCAATCAAATTTACTCGGCCTGGAGCAACTGCGGCCTTCAGCTCCTTGAATAAAGCCTTATGTTAGGCCCTTGTCCAAGAAATTTTTCATATTAGAATACTGGTAAACAACGGAGAGTACAGTCAGGAAGTTCCCTAGCCGAGATTATATTGAGAAGAAGACGATGAAAACATCGAGAACCCAGGAAAGCTATCTACTACTAGTACAAAATCCACAGTAACGGGATCAATCAATAGGTATCCACGTAATCCGTGAAGGATATTGCCGCTCGTAGCCCGTGAATTCAATATTTTCCAGCATCAACGGACTTATGGTACCCTTCTGCAGAACCCCGAGAGTAAAACTGAGTACTACTACTTGTTACTTAAAGATCTAGAGATGATTTTGATAGATGATCTTGTAGATTTCTCAAAAAGAGCAGATGGTTCCAGCTTTTGTAGAAGAAAAACGGTTCAGACGGTAATGTAAAATCAGGGATCAACTTAAAATCAACTTACAGTAAGCTGGCATATCCCGAAATGAGTGAGGAATAATTCATATGCCTCTCTAACGACGCCATGCTTCAGATTCAGGACATGTTCAGATTCAGATGGCCGATTTGTCTCCGCTTCATACAGACGATCTTCCAATATTCTCTCCCCAATGGAATAATCTGCCATAATCTGCACGTATTGAGAATATTCCAAAATGCATTCTCTCCAAATTATTTACTACACAGTAAGGTATTTATGTGCTCATCAAATGATTTAACACACAGCGTGACACTACACAACACATAGGAATTTTAAAAGCATACTAGTCATATCAGATGATGAGTTAACAGCTGTTCAGTAAAACAGTGTGCTATTGACTTCAGCCCCACACACATTAGCTAACTTACCAGATAACACAATAATTATGTCTTACGATATGCCAACCCACAAATGTCTAGTTTACATGTTTGTTGTCTTTTGAAGTGTCGTAGCCCCGATTAGAATTTTTTTAAATTCGAGTATTTTAGAACTATGGAAGCAAAAGTTGTTTTATTTACGTCGAAGCTGTGTTGTAACTACTTGCAGGAGAACGTTTTTTTCTTCAATTTTGGTAGTTTTATAGCTTTTGCTTATCACTTTTGCCTTCTGCATTTGTTTTCTTCCTATTTCTTCCGTGTGATTTCACAATTTTTTGTTTGTTTATGTGGTCTACGGTTGTTTATGCAGTGAAGACTGTTTTCCAAGGGTTTATATAAGCTGCGCATAAGTACACAAGTGAGTTACAGGAACCATTCGAAGCCCTACTTTTGGCTAAGCGTTTCTCTTTAACTTAGCGACTCTGTGAGTGAGTGAGGAACGATTTTATTCAATAGCCATAAACTTTAAGGGTGTCGTATATCCCGCATATAAGCAACATTTGCCGAGCCGCCCTGCCCAACGCTGCTGTTTTGAGGGAGGGCATCCTTAAGTTTGGGGTATTAGATCATTTATATTACTGTTTTTGGCAGATGGGTGCCCAATAGTAGTTTATGAGGCTCTAACATGGGGGCAGGGTTGAATCTGGGTGCTAGCCAGGCCATCCCAAAGTTGACGAGGAGCCTTGTTTTTGAAGGCGGCCCTGAGTCGCCTCCCAAATACTTTCCCGTCACTCGTATGCAAGCTTTTGGTTGGGTCTATGGACAGGACACCAATTGCACCCATAGACTCAACATACGCATACATGGATAAGCCACCAAGGAGACGGAAGATATAAATCAACCCACACAGCAGAAATGGGGACCCATCCCCAAATTCCACCTGCTTCTCTCGGCATGTACCCGAGCCTTTTCGTCCGCGATTCACTCCTCTATTTCTTCTTGGGGTTGCGCCATGTAGCCTCGGTACCGACTGGTTTGAGATCCTCCAGTGAGGGACAATCTTCACTGGAAGAGATCCTTGATACTAGCTTTTTTATGAGCTGAAGGCTTTGAGGCGAGGATTTCGAAAGCATTGATCCAAGAAGAAAGTGATTTGGAACTTTTCTCCCTACATGGTTAATTGGATAAATCGTCACTCACGTTTTTTTCTTTTTTGATTTTCCCCTTTTATGATATCCTTGTTTTTAGCTGTATTCTACGCTACGGCCAAACTTATAGCGGTAACGAGAGTATTGCTTATTGTTTTCTTGAGACTGTTTTCTCCCAAATTTTTCTGTTTTGTTTTTTTTTTGTTAGTTTTGAAGTAGCTTTTTCATCTTTGCTATGGTTTTCCTACTCTGCTGGTCGTATGAGTTTATTAGTTTACTTTTTCTATCGACCAGCTTCTTTCTTGCCTCAACTACTATCAATTTACCTTCTTTTGACCTATTGGCAGCTTTTTTGCCCTCTATTACGTTATTCTTCTTTCACCTCTTAGCTCCTAACTTACCTCTGAAACGCGGCATCCATTTCGATGTTTTCAAATATACCCTAAGGCCTTCAAAGGGGTGATGAGTAAATGATCGATGATCGGTCACTGTATCCTCTAAAACCGATGAAAAATAAAATACTAAAATAGATCGACGGTTTTCAGATGAATTTTTAGTAATCTGAAGTTCTATTGAGAAAGATGGCTAACAAGCTTTTCGGTGCTTTGCTGCTCTACTAAGTAAGAGGGATCAATGGCCAAGTGTGCTCGTCGAGAATAAGTGAATGAAAGAGCGAATGGTAATAGTAAAGTAGACCGTGTTCTCTTAGATATCCGGCTGAGATGTGGTGAATATTCTTAGAAACCATGCAGTACTTCTCAATCCGATTTTTATGAAAGCAATCGGGTGCTCTCTATCATACTGTTGTCTCTTTTTTTTGAAAATTTCTGAATACCTGTTAGGTATTACTTGACACTACCAGTTATGCAATATACTTCTGAAACTTTTCTTTGAGAAGAGAGTCCTTTCCTACTCAGCTTCTCCGAGTAGATTCCAAAATTGAATCAGCAATCAACAAATGCATAACTTACTAAGAAAACGAGCAATACCTCATTTATATTTTGACGAACAAATACGACCATTGAATCTTGTTTATACAGCAGCAAGGCCAGAAATAAGTTGTTTTCCAAACATTTAGTAGAATTTCGCGTACTCCCTTAATAGGTATGTAGTGAGAAACAAAAAGATTCAGTATAAATAAGCATGACTTAGGTACTTTTAAGGAAGCCTCGAATAAAGTGCTCCAAAGCGAAAACCGCAACGCAGCCGCTTGCTACTTGAGAATTAGTTTTTTGCGGCTTCATTTTTTTCATACGAACTAGTTGGCGAAGTTGTTGTTTTCTTGTAACTTGTATCTCGTTTTTGTTCAGTTTCGTTATTCGGAACATCACTTATGAACTCTTTTTAGAAGTAGTGCTAGCTCTCGGGCTCAATTGTTAATAAACCATTCACAATTTTTACATTTTTGTTTTCCAGCGAGTTTTTGCAATATTACTCTAGTTTGTTTGCCTTTTTTCGTTTCTGTTCAGTGTTTTCAGTTTTGAAATACTACTATTCACATCTTGAAGGCTACACTGCCAAGAGATTTTCTCTAGCATGTTTAGTTTTTGAAAACAAATCCCAATTACTGCATCTCATACACTATACTAGTAATTTCTCTGTTACTTGTTAATTTTACTTCTTTGTTTGCGATGATTAGCACTTGTGGATTCCGGGAATCATAATTTTCGGATATTCTTTGTTCAGTAGCGAATGAAGCTGATACACTCCTCTCTGCCACTCAGCCTATGCCTTCTTCTGCCATTAAGAGTTACTATTTTGTATCTCAAACCACTTTCTTCGTTGATTAACCGCAAGACTGAGATTTCACTCATAAGGTTATTCAAGGATGGCATTACTACTTTATTGTTTTTCATTTCAGTGGGTACTTCGCATGGTCGTTCTCTCACTATGAATTCCAATCAGCCTACAAGTGATCATGATCAGGATAGTCAACTGAATCAGAATGGGACTCGTAAAGGCTTTTTGTTTCATACTTTCAATTCTGAAAGATATTCAACATGAATTTGGAAATTGGTGGCTTCTTTTTGACTACAACATCTTTTGCTAAGAAAGTTTTTTTTCGCAAATCCTGATAAGTTGGCGTTTGTAGAAGTCATTGTGATACCCATAATGATGCTAGGCTGAGCCGGGTGCTTTCGGGTCACTGGACTGGGGGNGGGGGACTCTGATAGGCACTCGAATTTTTTTGCAAAATTTTAAATATAGAGCTTTTATAAAAACCTACTGTAATGCAGCTTTTGGGAATCATGCGCAGTGATAGGATTTTGGACTTTCAGCTTCTTGGACTATGATGCCTGTTTGATATGCTGAGGAATTTCGGTTTACTTCCGTTCTTCATTCCTATTATTTAGTAGTTTGTTTTTCCATTCCTGCTCGTCGATTATCGTGAATTACATGGCCAACTTATTATGACCTACCTTTCTTTTATTACTTTATATATATGCTTTTTTTTACTTGTCTTATAAGAACCTTCATAAAAAATGAGAGAGAAAACGAGAAAGAACATCTTCTATACTTTCTTCTTAACTCTTTTAAGCAGACGCCAATCCCGAGTCTGGGACAGGTCGTTCGGGCATGTTGTCTTATCGGGATAACAATGAACAGTTATTTGCAGCAGAGTCTGTGTCTGGTATTGATCCGTGATTTGATGTTGTTTGTTTGCTTGTTTGTTTTAACTTGTTGACCGTTGTACAATGTTCTTATTCAAACAATTGTCTTTCTCAGCGGAAACTGTCGCTTCGTCTGAGAGGTCTGTAAGATCAGTAGACGACGCCGGGTCAGGTATGACTTTTTTAAGTACCTCGGTTCGATTCCGTTTCTGATCGTTCAATTTTTGTTTGAAGAAGAGTTGGAGTCCGTTTCGTCGGCTATTCCGGATGATTGGTTCGGTGACCGGTTATTCGGTGTGTGAATGCTATTCGCATTATTTATGTTAATGTTTTCCGATGTCCAGCGTTTCCTCTTCAATTGGGTCAATTTCGTTTTTAGATATGAAAATCTCCGTCCGACCGTCGGGTTCCAACGACTCGCTCAATGTGAACTCGGTAAGAATATGGCTTTCATGCTTGTCCTATTTGAACAAATCTCATTTAGGACTCTGATGAGATTCGTCCAGTGATTGATGGCGTGGCAACTTCTCGCTCGGGCGAGACGGTGGATCTTCGCAGTAATTTCAATGGGCGCGGTGTAGATTCTGCTTCCAACTCAGGGAAGTTGGAACCTACGTCTCAATCTGGTATGTTCACTCCATGCATTGAAAAATTCATAATTTATAAAATGAAGTTAAACGGGAGTGTGGTTTCGCTCGAGTGTAATATGGTTCATCCGTTCAAAACAGTGTATTTCGAAAGATCGGAAAACCTCTAGATTGCTTTATGACCCCTCCGATTGCGTGATTTCAGCGTCTACTACTTCCGAGACTTCCACCACTTCCCATGTGGACTATTGGTGCAACAGTCACGTGAGCGCATTGCCTCTGCTCTTCATAATCTTGGAACTCATCCAACTGAAGATATTTGCATGAATTTTCAGAAGGAGAGCGAGTACGATACTTCTGACGAGAGTTCGGTTACTGAAGATTCGAAGTTCCTGCAACCTCCTTTGATTGGACCTTCTATCCCAAATACTGGGTCATCCTTAGCTCCCGTTATAGGGCCTTCCCTCCCAACTCCGACCATTGGGCCATCCCTCCCTCCCTTTATTGGGCCTTCCGTTCCATCCCCGACTAATGGGCCATCGCTCCCTACGGTAATTGGGCCTTCGCTTCCACCTTCAACTGTTGGGCCATCACTCCCTACGGTAATTGGGCCTTCGCTCCCACCTTCAACTGTTGGGCCATCGCTCCCTTCGGTAATTGGGCCTTCGCTCCCACCTTCAACTGTTGGGCCTTCTTCTTCAGACTCTTGTGATGTGCCTTCATTTCCTGTAACTACTGCTGAAGCATCTTCTTCTTCCATGGATATTGGGCCCGCACCCCCTCCTCGACAAATCGGGCCTAGTCTTCCACCCGGATTTGATGTGCCGTGCGATGAGGTGAGAACATCATGAACATTTCTTATTTCGAGATTACAAAAGTGTGGTAACTTTGAGTGACGTTTCATTTGTTCGATAAAAGGATGCGTTCAATTCATTCATTCAAGTGTATGTGGTAAAATAGTNTAGTTATAGTTTGGTCGTAGAAATCTGATGTTCGCTGACTAGCTTTTTTCTCTTATTTTTGGGTGTCCACTTATAGGAAGATATGGCGGAGGAAGAATGCTTCGGCCCGATGCCACCCGTACCCACGCAGGGCGAGGGCGGTGATGATGACATGATGGTGTCGGACGAGCCGATTGGTCCAATGCCAATTTCGAGCGAAGAGGCTGAACGCGCGGCAGAGGAATATGCTCTTCTCAGGATGAGTATGATGAACAAGGAGGATACGGTACTTGGAGATACATTAGTTTCAGTCCTTTCGAGTTATTGTTACTTTGTCACATTACTCATACTATAATTACTACTGTTTTACAATTTTATTGCCCGCCATCTTCCACTTGTTCTCATTTCCAGAACAAGCCAAAGCGTGAAGACTGGATGCTGAAGGTTCCAGAGAAGGCGGCTAATATTGGTCTAGGAGCTCGCACATTCAAGCGTGGCAGCTCGGCGACGGCAGAGATGGACAAGTCGTGGGAGGATAGCCCTCAGACGAAGAAACCATGCAGTGAGGTAAGGTATATAGACAGCCGGGAATCGCTTTTTCTGGAGACCTTGGTGTTTCTTAGTATTCGGAGGTATTCCTTTCTAGCCTCATCTTGAATTCAGATGTGGAAATAGGTTGCGTAGGATGTTTTGTCGATTTTTTAAACTCTAAATGTATCAGCATTTAACACACTTTTCCAACAGTAATCGTTTCCATTTGAAGGGAGATGTGGTCGTCATGAAAAGCCTCGCTGAGGCAAAACGCGACGAGGAACAGCGC